TGGTATTCACTGTGATTTTGATCACTGCCTTTGTTAGGTACCACATTCTGTATTTCTCTGCATCATTCACTATTTGTCTCTTCTGATGAAGAACTCAATCCTTAATTAGTCATTTGTCCACTTTTAATGCAGCTATATGATTCGATGTTTTAAATGCTACTTAAGATGGAAGTGATTTTTACTAAAAGACTAAAATGCAAACGTTTATTCCCATCAGTGTGTTCATTTCTACTTTGAATATTTTTGTCTTCACTGTCATATCATGATGAAACTCAGAAGTTATCAGACTTTGTGGTCTTTTCTTCCTGAAAATAGTCTGCTAGCATGTCTGTAACACAATTACATTTTTTAAAACTGTTATCTAGCCTAAATTTCTTCCCTAGAATTTTTCTCAGGAAAAAAGCTGATTCGAAAAACTAAGTTCATGTTTCATATTCACGCCTTTTCCTTAGAATCATACTCTATATTTTTTCATGATGCCTTTTACTCAAATTCCCTCATGTTCAGCATCTTAAATTCTTTTAGACATGAATTAAAAGTAATGTAATGAGTATCTAAATGTAAATGGCCCATACTTCTTTTTGGACCATGTTCCAAGACCTGGGCTGTGTATGCATCTTCCTGTATTGTTTTCCAATGTATAACTCAGTAGTCAGCACCAAAATTTGGTTTCATTCTTCTGGTTCTTCTGATAACAATTCCCAAAAAGGCTCAGGATTTCCCTCCCTCTGGACCTGTTGTATTATGGCATTGCCAATGCTGCCTTCTCACTCTCTCTCCCACTCCCACATGAAAATTTTCTCCAAGGTACACGAGTGGCAGGACCCACATCCCTAGAGCTTCTAAGTTACATTTTTAGGCCTGCTATTTTTAAACTGCCTTCCATTCCTACACCAAGTACTGCAGCCTGGCGAACTCTCTCACTAAGACCACCAGTAACCACACATCGGTAACTTCACCATTTTGTTTGTTTACCAAAGCAATTTGGAATTCCTTGCTTACTGCCCCCGGATATTCTAAAATGGTAAAGACATCCAAGTGTTTCAGCAGATTTAAACTCTTCGTCTTCCCTATACCTTCTATCATTACTTCACTTTACCAGTGTTATCAGTCCTGCATCCATTCTGAAATCATCTGTGCTTGCCATCACCATGAAAAATTCAAGCTTTACTTATCCTGGGTTTCCACCCTGCTAGAGCAGCCAGTTCTTTGAAAAAATGCGGTTTCTATAAACAGAATTAAAGTACAACTTCTACATTTGTGACAATGTAAAAATTACATCAGTCAATTTTTCAAGTCTTCCCTTGATGTACTTTACATGCAAATAACATTTTATTGTAAAGGTTTGAAAGTTTTATTTTGATAGTATCCAACAAAAATGTTAATATTAATCAAAATACAGGATAATTATATCAGAGCATTCATGTCTCTTTCTTACTTACCAGCTGTGTCCTGCCATGATGTGACCAAAGCTAGAAAATGTTTTGTGTTTTCTATCTCCTCATGGCTTCCGGTGGTTCTGATAGACTTTTAAAAAAAAAAAAAAAAAAAAAAAAGCATAAATATAGATACATGTATATATTTACCTTAAATCAAGTCTAATGAACTTCAGGCCCTATTAAAAATTCTTTGCTCAGTGGTAACATTTTTTTACCACTTTATTTTCTTTCTGAGGCTATCTGAACATCTCCTAAAGTTGTGATAAAGGCATGGTGGAACTTTACAGCTTCTGTTATATATTGTTTCTTACATGGAGACACGGTTCACAAGACAAAGAAGTTCTGTAATCTATACTTGGCTCTGAATCCAAATCCACTTAAATTATGAGATGCAGTCAAACCAACTGCAATAACATCTTTTTGGCAACTGAGGCTTGTATTCATGTAAATTATACAGTACTTAACTTCAGAGAAAATACTAACTGTCATGTTTCAGGGCTTAAAGTGACATTTAAATGCTGGAGAGCTGGACAGAAATAATGAGAAGGAATTTTTGCTGTAGTGTTCTTATACCTTCTTCAGGGGCATCTCCAATTTCTTCAATAGACAGTACTGAAATACACAGGCCTAAGAACAGTCACTCTAGAGCAGAATAAACACTTTAAGGTCTGGGTTCACAGACATTACCTCTTGTCACACCTTATCATACCTGCAAGTAGCAAGCTCAAGCTGTATGAGCTATGCTAGTAAACCACACCTGACTATGGCAGTAAACCACCCCTTGACAGCTGTATATTTGGCTACTGGTCTGGGAAGGGGTTGGGGGGGGGAGGTGGGGGTGCATTTTTGGCAGTGAGGGAAGGGGCCACCTTGTGATAATCTCCAAGAGCTCCCCTGGCTCCCAAGGCAGAGACCCCTCAGCCCAGGCTGAGCCAATGAGCACTAGAGAAACGCCTCCATGAATCCATATTTGTGAGGGGAAGGACTGTCCTGAAAAGAAGAAGATGGAGAGAACCTAGAGGAGAGGTCATTGACCTGAACAAAAGACGACCATTGGCCTAAACAAAGAGAGAGCTTCGTTGCCACAAGGAAGGAGGAAAAGGGGGAAAACAGAGAACCTCAGACACCCAGTTCAACTGCATGGAGTAGGAGAAGGCAAAGGAGGTCCCTGCAGCCCATGGAGGTTCAATGGCAGAGCAGATACCCACGTATAGGCCATGGAGGACTCCACGCTGGAGCAGAGAAGCTGAGCCTGAGGGCAAGTGTGACTGAATTGAGATCCTGAGAGCTGCTCACTGCCAGAGCGGGGGTGAGGAGGTGTGCTGGACCCGAGGTCCATCTGCAGTCAGTGGATGTCCCCATGCTGGAGCTGGGAGCTGAGCCTGAAGAGGTCCTTGACTCCACGGGAAGCTCATGTTGGAACATCTTGTTCCTGGACTTTCATGCCGGGAAGAGTGGCAGAGGTGAACTGACTGAACCCCCATTCCCTGCCCCCTGTGCCGCTGCAGGGGAGAAAGTAGAGAAATCGGGAGCAAAGTGATTTGAGCCCAGGAAGAAGGGAGGGGTGGGGGGAAGGTGTTGCAAGATGTGGTTGTTATGTCTAGTCAGATGAATGGCAACGAATTAAATTGATTTTTCTTCCCAAGTTGAGTCTGTTTTGCCCGTGACCATAACTGGTGAGTGAGCCATCCCCATCCTTCATTCCTAATCCCATGTCCCTTTGTTGTGACTCCCATCTCCTCTCACCAGGTTGGGGGAGTGAATGCAGGACCTCATGGTCCTACTGGGGGTTAAACCACCACATGGTCACATCAATTTTTAAGGACCACGGCCTTCTTTCAAAGCCTACCTAGCCAATATATATGAAAGCCCATTCAAAGTTATTTTTTAAGATCCATTTCTTCACTTTAAGCAGCCAACTGTGAGTTATTTAATAAAACAACGCCCCTATGAAACACAATAATTCTGTAAGACAGTACTCTAAGATACACTATTTATAAAATAAGCAGAACACTTCTAACCTGAAGTTCTTCCCAGAGCTTTGCCCTCATTTCTTTGCCTTGTTTTTTAATTGCTCTCTCCTTAAAAAGGTTTTTTGCCAGTATTCTGTCAAGTTTTTTCATTTTCTTTATAGCTGCTTGAATCTGAGGGTCTACATCTGTTTCTTCAGAATATTCCAAGTTGGAAGAGTTTGCTGTAGATTATATTTAAAATTAATGTTGGCTTGAAGCATTTCAACTTAAAAAAAAATACAAGTAATTTAATAACAAACATGGACAACAGTACAATTATTCTCAAGCATATGTATCATGCTAATTTCTAAACCTGTTTGTAGCAAAAAAAAAAAAAAAATAAAAGTCTTTGTAACAGAACACTGAATCAAACTCTGAGCTGTAGCAGCTGGATACTGGGGTGTGGGGGAGGAAGAGTTCCCTCATTTTGGGCAAGTGATTTGATTCAAATTTGTAATGGAAGAATGACAATATCTCCAGAGTACCAGCAAAAAGCACAGACAAAGTAAGCTTAAAAATAAAAAATAATTTCTTCAGCCTGACTAGTAGAATCCATGATGAAATGTTATTCATGAAAATGAGTAATTCTGGGGTTAAGAGAGACTCTGTAGCATCTCTACTTTTAAATGTTACAGAAGTTTCAAGCCTTGACTCCATCTCAGCCAAACCGGATCCTGACACTGGTTCTAGAAAAATGTTTTGAAAAATAAAAATGGTGAAATATTATGGAAACTATCATTATTTAATTAAAATAGATTTCTGTATTGTCTCTTTTTTTCCTGAAGAAGCAGATTACAATTTCTGATCACTTTTAGCTTTTCCTCTTCCTATAGCATCCTCATATTCTGCCCTCTTTTCTGGTCAAACTCAGCTTCCACAGTAAGAGTAGAGGAAACACTTGTAGCACTGTTCCTATCCCAGAGACTTCCAAGTTTTGGAGTCCTGCAATACTTTTTAATTTTCTTATCTTTTGAGGTGAAATGCTTTACACACCCATTGATCCCAAGCATTTACTGTGATGCATTGGTCTACTTTATGCCACAAAAAGAGATGAGTGATACAACAAGGGGAGAGCTATAGAAATCTAATGGAGCTCCAGGGAAGCCCAAAGGACAGAATATTAAAAAAGAGCGCTTATTTCAACTGGCCTGAACCCAGCAGATAGATTTAAACCTAAAACTTCTGAGCGAAGCTTTGAAGTTGAGTTCTATCCAATTTCTGTTCTGAAGAAGTATTATGTTAGATGACCAGCACTGCTGCACTAGATAGAAACACCACTGGATTCTGCCTCACTAGATTGACCAAATCTATGCAAAACTCAAACACTATGATATAATTAAAGAAAGTTAGTATCTTTTAATAAAATAATATTTAAATAAATAATTAATCCAACACCTCTTGAATATCACAATGTATATAAATTTTCAATTTGTAATATTTCTTTATAACTATATAATACACACACATGCACACTATGGTCCCAAACTCTCTTAGAAGCATTAAAAAGAAAAGGAAAAAAAAAATAGTTTTATTGCACTGTTCACTTTATACACCTGAAAAGTAATACCTGCTTTTGTTTTACTTAGTTTTCCTTGGGAAGGTTCACAGAATTTCAAAGTCTGTGTTTCAGTGCTATCATCTCCAGAATCTGAATTAGAGATACATCCTAAAAAACACAGGAAAAAGCCTTTCACAATAAAATGTAAAATAAACTTTTAAAGATACTTTTAACAATTAAGAGACCAAAATACATTTTTGTCAGTTAGGGATAACCATAGAGCCTCTGCAATGGATTAACTGTTTAAAAAATTCTATATACTAGTACAGCAGGACTCATGTTAAACACACGAGC